ATGGACAATGGACATGGACAGATGGACAATGGACGGATGATAGATGGACAGATGGACAATGGACGAATGGATAGATTGACAAATGGACAATGGACGGATGGACAGATGGACAATGGACGGATGGATAGATGGACGGATGGATAGATGGATGGACGGACAGATGGACAATGGACGGACAGCCAGATGAATGGATGGACGGACAGATGGACGGACAGACGGATGGATGGATGGATAGATGATTGATGGATGGATAGATAGAAAGTTAATTAGATGGACAGATATACGTAGGTGGCGATGATTGATGGATGGATGGATGGATAGAGAGTTAATTAGATGAATAGCTATACGTAGGTGGTAACCCTTAGAGTATACAGTAGTAAATGTTATTTTTCTATATTTTTTTGCATTTCAAAAACCTTAACTTAACCTCAGTGACAAAGACTGACCACAGGAGGCAGCAGTTGACCAGCAGCACCTGCTGCTTTGCGGAGTTAAAAACATTAAAAAAACAATTTTTTTTTTATACTAGTGACAGAAATGATTTAAAAAGATGATCTGTAAGAGTTAGTACTTTTATGTCAGCAAACCTACACATTTGAATGTGTTTATGTCTAATTTGTACGAATGCATTGAGTTACGCATTCAACTGCAGTGAGTAGCCAGTGAGGCCATGTGCATCTGCTGTAAGGAGTGCCGCACAGATGAAGCCTCTGAATGACTACTCGCACTCAGAGCTTACGATGATCCAACAGGCGTTGGATGCTGGAGGCTGATTAGTGTCATAAACAGCACCTACAGATCCCTAAATGTTATAATACGATCCATCAATGGAATCGATGTTACAGTCGCGCTGAAGAACGGAGGAGTGTAAAGAGCGGCCGCCGCTGCCGCTGTCAGGTATATTGATCTGTGTTCTCCTGCACTGCGAACAACAAACACCGCAATTATGAGCAAAATAGTAATTAGGGCCTGACATGAAAGAAGCAATTTAGACTTGGACACTCTTGCGTCTCACTAGTCCAGAATGTGTCAATACCGCTGCTGATTAATGACAGAAGGACAGGGCCAGCAGGGAAATCTATCACAAGAGCTCTTTCCCAGCGTGCACTGCAGTATTGATCTACACGGTGAGCAAGACCAAACGTGAGCGAGACATGCGGAGGGGCACAATTTTCTACCTTGTCATTTTAATATTATGACAAAAAAAAAACACTATAATTGTAATGGAGTCAACACCCGTACCCATTTTTGGACATTTCAGTAAATCAAATTTTCCATTTATCTTAACTGCGGTATCACAAATTAGACACACAAGGCTGATACACAACAAAAACTACTAATCCCTGCTCTCTCTGAGACTTTGGTGTTGAAGAAAAAATTTTTTTTTTTGCCTGTCCTACCTGCAGGTGTTTGACGATATTGACCACCTCTCTGGTGGAGTATGGGTAAGTGATGGTTCCCTGATCGGCCATTGACCTCAGTTCTCCAAACGCGGCCACCAGTTTCTGCAGCGTGGCGTCAGGAACGTCTGGACCATAGCTTTTCAGCATCTCCAGCTCAGCGCGGGGGGCGGGAGGCAGAAAAAACTCACGTTGTGGAAAAAAAGAGAGGGGGGGGGAGGGGGGGTTTAGTTGATGCAGTCACTCACTATGGATTTACATTAGAAAGAAAAATAGCGATACTTCATCACCTGTACATATTCAATCTATTCAAATATACGGCCCGGGGCCCAAAACAGGCCCGCTAAGCAGTTTAAATCGGCCCGCTTGTTTCATTTTAAAAAATTTTTAAAAAATTACACAAGCTCTTTAGGATATTGTTTGGTAAAATTATTATTGAATATGAAAATTAAATATGAATAAATAATGACAATGATAAATATCTAATATATTTGTAGGGACACATAGACGGTTATTGTTATTTATAGTAGCCCGTAAAGCAAAATTACATTATATTTATGTATTAAGCAGACACCTTTATCCAAAGTGACTTACAAGAGGGGATTAACAATCAAGCCTGGGTTCGATCCCCAGTAGAACCACATGTTCTACTGGGGATTGAACCCAGGACTCTCTCTATGAAACCACAAAATGAGTTTGACATCCCTTGCTCTATTCTATCTTTTATCTGTAGAACGTAGTGGTTTCGTCTTTTGCGTTTTTTTTTACCCAGAGCACCGAAGAAGTCATTTCCCAGAAAAGGAAACCCTGGTCTGTTGGCCAACACCACCATCCTGAAGTCGGGATGCATGATAATAGAGTTGGGCCTCGTTTCAGCTTCACCAGGATCTTCAGAAAAACACATGGATTATGGAGAATATTACATAAACAATTACTTCACGCAGCTCGTTGTCCTAAATCCAAAAATGGCTACTTTTTCAATTTGTTGAGTTCTTTTTGACTCACTCATTACTGCAAACCCAAAATGATGTGCTTTAAGGTCAGACAAATACTATGACCACCTCCACGAATTGAAATACTATTAAGAACCCGATAACATGTATATTTTTATCTGTACAAACCACTGTATGAGGTGCTGCCACCTAGTGACTGGAGGCTTGTTATCATTCAAGAATTACAGCAGTCGTACACTTATGTCCATGCCATATTCCATATTCCCCCCTGGCCCCTTAGAGCGCACCCTAGGGGGGCCCTGCCCCACTATTTGAGAAGTACTGCATTAAAATAAGTTACACACATATTTATCCTATATTGTAAAATTGATTTTTTTTTTTTTTCTTGTACCTGAGATGATTCTGCGTCCATCGGCTAAGATCATCTCTCCACTCTCCACCAGAGCTTTTAGGATGCAGGTGACATTGGTCGGAGCCTTGTCGGCCTCGTCGATCACCAGTATGTGACCCATCTTAACTGCCTTCACCTACATGTGCATGTGTACACATACATATTCCTGAATTACCATCACTACCAGTGCACATATACGGAATTGAATCAGCGCAGTAAGTGACTGTGGCACTGACCAATGGCGAGTCCTCGTACGTGATGATTCCGTCTCGTACTGATGGCTGCAGAGTCAATGTCTGGACAGTCGTGTCTCTGTGGGAAGGAACAAAAAGGGTCTGGGAATATGCAGGTGTCTGCAAGGTAAAACTGAAGCACAGAAGTACTATAGATAAATAAAAAAAAAATGTTGTGTTGGAAACGGCTTATTGATTGAAATAAAATTATTGTAATTATTATTGTAAAATTATTGTAAATTGTAATAAAATTAATAAAAATAAAAATAAAAATAAAAATAAAAATAAATAAATAAATAAAATAAATCAATCAATAAATAAAAAAAATAAAAAAAATACTACTAGGGTCTTGGTCCAGGTTAAAACATTTAAATTGATGACACATAAAAATACCCATGATTTTGTACCCACTTAGTTCAAACGGTTTTACTGCGGCATCGATTTTTTATATTCTTACATGAACCTTTGTGAGAATAAAAATGGCCACAGGAGGCAGCAGAGCAGCTCATGTGTGCTAAAATCTCTCACTTCTCTCATGGAGACACTTGGTGTGGTAGTTCTCTTCATTGAAGTGACCATTAAAGTATTACCATCCCTGTTAATTTGCGGTGCATCATATGCTTCTACCCGCCCTAATTATCCTCTCTCCATCTTCATCATTCTGACCCAGGATGTGTCCCACTTCCCTCTCTCTTTCTCTTTATTTTTACTTTGCACTGCCGTTTTTTCAGTCACAGGAGCCACATGCACTGACCCTGCAGCTCTAATATTAGCTGCTTCTGCAGGACAGAACCAGGTCACATCTGGCCTCCACGTCCTGTTTAGCTATCGACGCTTCAACTCATTTGCATTTTTGTTTCATTTGTGTATTACTTTTAAAACTAAGTGGCTACTTATATGACTAATAATGTTTTTTTCCCCCAAAACTAAGTGGCTACTTATATGACTAATTTTCCCCCAACATAACATGACTTTTAATAAACAATTTTTTTTTTTTTAAATTACAAAAATGACATCATTTACACAATTGGTCACCTATTTTAGGAGACTGTCTTTTCAAAATAACAAACGTTCCATTTTTTTTTTTAACCATGCAGAGATCGATCAGTTTGACTATTGATTAATCTGATCATCCAATATTTGATACTGATGAAGTTATACAAGATATACACTGACGCGTGGACTGACATTCTAGGGCACAAACACACACGCAAGCCGCCTTCTGATTAGCAGCAGGATCGATACGAGGCTGTGTCTCTGCTACATTATTGATCCGACCTTAGAGATATAGAAAGTTTGATCATTTCACCTGTGTTTATATGTCTGTTTTTTTTTCAAATTGAAACACTATTGAGAACCTAATATCATGTATATTTTTATCTGTAAAAACCGCTGTATGAGTTGCTGCCACTACATGTGAGTGCTTACCTGTGCAGCTGCAGATATTCTCTGGGTCTGTTGAGAAGGTGTAGAAATCTGTCCACTATTTTATTCTTCCCTACCCCCTGTGAAGGCAGGTGGAAAACAGTCAATCAAATCGGAAAAATGCAACTAGCGACTAAGAGAGCAGTATACGGTGGAATCTTGGTTGTCGAACGCCTCCCTTTTTGAACGATTTCTGAACAATATTTTTTACCAGAAATTGTATATATGTATATATATATATATACACATATATACACACATATATACATATATACACACATATACACATATATATATACACATATATATACACATATATATACACATATATATACACATATATATACATATATATATATATATATATGTATATATATGTGTGTATATATGTGTATATGTGTGTATATATGTGTATATATGTGTGTATATATGTGTATATGTGTGTATATATGTATATATATGTGTATATATATATGTGTATATGTGTGTATATATGTGTATATGTGTGTATATATGTGTATATGTGTATATATATGTGTATATATGTGTGTATATATGTGTATATGTGTGTATATATGTATATATATATATATATACATACATATATACATATATATACATATATATATATATATATAAAAGAAGTCACTTAGGCTACGTAGGGACGTGACGTCTTGGTTCATCAACGATTTAAGGTGCACACTGCCACCTGCTGTACTAGAGTGTGTAGTCGCAAGGTATGACCAGTGACTTTTTGAGATAACGCAGCCTACTCCTAACGCCTTGATGTGTGATTTTTTTTTATTATTTCAACCGATGCAAATTATCACGCATTTACGCCGATTTTTAACCGATTCACAATCTAGTCTATCTAGTCAATGAACTTCAGATCTAAAGTTAACTGTGCTATTAAAGGTGCAGGGAGGGGAGAACGCACAATTCCCCCGAGAAACTCTAATTTCAGTCAGGCTGTCTTTTCCTTCAGGGCCTAACACCATTCTCTGTCATGTCATTAATTTAAACTCAACACCAGGAAATGGCTGGCTGGACTACGTAAAAGGAAAACACTGGCTTTTTTTTTTTGGACTTTATTGTTTAGGTTTATATGATGTTTTGCTCTTTTAACCTTGAATGTGGTAATTTAGTGGTGCTATTTCGGAGGTATTTTTAATCATTTTAGGCTGTTTCGTTCCAGTCTACCAACACCATTTTAAGGTATTTTAAGTAATATGAGGTATATTCAGCGGGTTTTATTTTGTAAAAAAAAAAGAAAAAAAACACCCCCATGGTGGCTGATTTTTTTTTGCTTCTGGTCGCTTTGCTAATTAATATAGCGGTTACTGACGTGTACGAATGTACTGCTGCACAGGTTCAATTAATCTTCCGGTGTCCATGACTTCTGTTTTCCCCAAGCGCATTATTTGTAATCCAACGCCAAAAAAAAAAAATTATTGGTGCTTTTTTAAATTATTTTAGGAAGACATTTGTTTAGATGCACAATTAATGTGTTGTCCATAGCTAAAATTAGAAAAGCTAAAAATAAGAGTTCCCTTGGGGTCCTTTCCCCTTCCATGGGTAAATTAAATAAAATTTTTTTTTTTTTTTTTTTTTCGATTTGTATTCTCTTTCTTTCTTTAGCGGGCACCACGCTCATATTTATCGACAATTTCCTGCTTTATTTCCATGAAATGGACTCATCACTATTATAAAGAATAATGCAAAAAAATATAGAGAAAATCACGTAGATAGAACGCAAACACAACACGGAAGTCTCGCGTGAGATGCGTACCGAAATCGACGAACACGTAAAAGTGCTCGACCACCTAGCGTTGGCGTCTGTAAACGTTCTCGTATCTCAAATCTTTCCTCGTATCCCAAAGCAAAAAATTTGCTCGTATCTCAGAATACATATACTTTATACACCTACGCTGTCGGAGCATGATGATTTGTCACGGCCCTCACCTGGTTTCCCACCAATAGCATGTGCTCTCCTAACAGGAAGTCCTTTAGCATGTCCTCCATCACCATCAAGTGCTGCAGAAAACGGAGACACTTACAATATAACACCGATGGACATTTCCACATTCACCTGTCTGTGTTTTTTTTTTTTTCTTTAAAGGATGTAAATGTGACTGCAATGGCGCTGCTGTGAGTTTTTTCATATTTGTGTTTGGTGAAACAATGTTTTTTGTGTGTGTGTGTGTGTGTATAGTGCAATGACCTGCGGATTGTCGTAGAAAAGAACGTCCGGAACCTTTATCTTCTCATCGGGGCTGTAAACAGGAGCCGATATGTTTCCAATCGTCAACACACCATCTTTTACTGAACCTGAGAAAAAGTAAATATCGGGAACTTCAAGTTCTGACATTACGGACTTTAAACAAAAACAAAAACAAAAAAAAAACAGAACCAGAACTTACAGGTGTAGTCGTGGTTATGTTCATCTCGACCTGGCGTTTCCAGAATGGAGCATTTCTCCAGGCTTTTTTCGAGAGAACCTTGAGCCAAACTTGGTAGAAATCTACAACCAACACAACAACAACAGCACATTTACACAATCATCGTCTATCTATCTATCTATCTATCTATCTGTCTATCTGTCCATCTGTTCGTCTGTCCATCTGTCCATCCGTACCTGGACAGACAGGCCTTGTGGACAGCATGGGCGACGCTCTCCTCTGGATAGTGAGAGAAACGACGGCAAATTCTGAGTAGCTGTCTGGTGGACAGAGAGGAAGCCAGAGACTGGGCCTGAAGAAAACACACGTAAGTACACGTAAGTAACAAACACACACACCCGCGTGAACTCACTCGTTCATTCATTCACTCACTCACTCACTCACTTACAGTGGGATCGCTGGTGTTGCGAAGGCTATGTGCGAGCTGCAGCAGCTGCTCGGGGGGACCGCGGGTGTTGGGAGGGCTATGTGCGAGCTGCAGCAGCTGCTCCGTTGTTCCTGATGGAACATTGGGAGTCTAGAAAAAAAAAAAATATAAACGAACATGTATTTAACAGCAGAACATACACACCAGAGCAGGCAGGGGCAAACTAAGGCCCGGGGGGCGGGGCCCGGCCCGTCAGCTTT